CCTTTCCAAAAAGCAGTCTTGGGCAAAGTCAGTTGATGAGTTGTCTGAGTTTGCTAGAGAAGGAGGAGTTCTTGGAATACAAGTTTAAGGATTGATTGAATTGTCTCAAGTTCAGAACTATTCAGTATTTTTTTGTGCTTTCTGGAGCTGTGTCTGTGTAATTCCCACATTTCCAATAAATTACTGTAAAAGGGCTGATATAATGGACAACTGCTGTAAAACATTGCTTCAGTTAAAACTAACGTATTGATTTTCAATGATGAATAAATAATCACTTCGCTCTTAGCTTATCTATAGTATTTTCTGAATAGCACCTGATAGTAACGAAATGACAAACCATCTTCTCCATTTAATGAGCCAGAAAGAACATCCAGCTAAAACAGAGTGTGCTTCTGACACCCAGAGAACAGTCTGGAATGACTGCCAGCAGTTGAGCTGAAGAGAATTTTAAAGGAATGAACTGGGCATGAGTCACGTCTTTCCATAGAGCAACTGTGGGCACTGGCTGCACAAGTACTTGAGAAATCAACAAGGGCCCCTTTTGAGGGAGCCAGGGGGAGAATTTCATAACTGACCTGGAGTTGGAGTTTTGCTAAGCATCTTGGATAATACTACAGTACAACTACAAAGATTATTTAAAGTCATGAAGCTTTGGTTTGTAAATAACTCAAATACCAGCAAACTTGGGTGGTGAAGGGTGGCAGAGTGTTAACTGCTCTGGAAGCAGTATAAATACTTGCTGGATTTATCTCATGAATGTTCACTGGTGATATGTTATCAGCAATTTATGATGTGCCATGACAAACGCTTACATTTCTGATGAAAATAGCAATTAGTTGGAGGAATAAGGATTCTCCTTGAATGCTTTCAGCAATTGATAGGGGAAATTTCTTTCCTTCCACACATGAACTGTAGTAAAAATCATTCAGATTTGGCAATTATCTCTGTTGCCTGAATCAGGTCCAGATTTTTAATTATTCTAAAGACCTTAAACATGCTTATATAAAATTATTAGTATGAATCATCTGAATATTAAGTGTATGAATTAGCATGCAGTCACAGTGATGAGTACAAAAGAAACTCATGCAGTTTCTTAATTCTTGATGCAGACTTTGTTGTTTATTTGACATTGTTTTCTTTTTCACAGACACAGTGATTGTTACCAAATTACATATTCTGAAGAAAGAGTAAAATATCTCAAAATTATCATCAGATAATTCTGATAATTATCATCAGAATTATCAAGTGTGATCTCAGTCTGAGCTTCATACCTCTGTCAGGGAAGTGCTCCATTGCCCCAAAACTTTAAGCGAGGCCTACAATCCTAGGATGCCCCTCATCTCATTCTTATTGTAAAAATGAATTCATTGTCGTCATCAAAATGAATGAAACCCAACTTGTTGCTGTTGACTATAAAACTACAGGTGGGTGCTGCACTGTCTTCACTTTGATCCTGAGGAATAAGGCGCTTACAGACTACAAGTAAAAGAAGGGATATGCTTCTGAAGATGGTGACAGCTATGAATCTTGAAGATCTCTGTGATCTGAATGGCATCATGACTGGAATCAAAATACCATACTACTCAGGCATTTTGATTTCCTGCCAGCATCAACCATCTATAGCATAGGTGGAGTGATTTCAGATCCATGTCCTTAAGAGCATTTTATTTGTGTTATTCATTAAACTCCTGTAATGCTTTGAAAATTAATTGATTCTTGATGATTTAGAAGATTCTGAATTCAGAGAGAACCAGAAAACAAATGATGTAAAATTAGGGTTGCATTCATAGTCCGCAAAAAGACAGGGCTGTTGAAGATCCAAGTCAGAAGCTATTCACTTCCGTAAGTTTTCTCTTATTAAGAGAGTTGGAGAATAACGTAATCAATTTTTTTAAACTGCCACTTCCATACATGATAGAAGACAACTGAGAAGCACTACTCAATATTAGGAATCCTAGGTAAATCCTGGAATTGTTGGATTTTAGTTGCAGATTTAATTATATATTTAGCTACTCTCATTCTCATACTTCTTGAACCATCTGTATCATAATTCATCTTGTTTACAAATCACCTGACATTTCAGTTCTCATCTGTGGACTCAATCTGTAATCTGTGCACCAAGCACAAGCAACCTCCAAGCTTACCTCACTTTCAAGGGGGAATCCACATCTCTGGCCATGACAGGGTGTCTGGCACCAATAAAGTAAAAATAGTTTATGAGATAAGAAGGGATATTCAGAGCATGATTTTAGAAAACTGATGTTTAATATATCTGGAAAATGTAGGGCCTCAGTGAGAAACAAAAGCATCTCCATTTTAGCCCTTTACTCCTAAACTGCATAAAAATGTACTCACTGTTATAGTCTTTCCATTAGACCCAGAAGGAATACAGAAAAAATGCATGCAGAACAGATCAGGAATAATAATTTCAAGGGAAAAATGCTGATTTTTTCCCTTCTCATTCCAAGAACTGAAGCTGATATTTTAGCTCTTAGAGAGTGGGTGACTGGCTTGTTTCGATGGTGAAGAAGATATTGCAGGAATGCTGTGTAACAACTGGGCCTGTGACTTCTGGAACAATGATTGACTTTTTGTGAAACTGCTGTTATCTCCCAGCACCTGTCTTCAAACAGTGAGCTGTAATGTCTATGTCAATGAATAAAAAAATGATCCATAGTTAACAGACAGGAAAATAATCTTCAATCTGAGATAATGCAACTGAGTATGAAAAAAAAAAACAAACCACCACCACACTAAATTATTTAATTTTTCAAATAAAATCATTAGGAAATTTATTTTACTTCTGGAAAAATGAAAGATCCTTCTTCAGATTCTCTCTTTCTTAGGTTTTGTGTACAGGAACACAGGGTGTGCTAGAGGAGATGGCCCATTCTTTTGTACTGCTTTTGCTTTTGGACCAAACAGTATATTCTGGTTGCCAGACCTGCTTGTATGTGGGAGCTCCAAGCACACAGAAAAGCGTTACATGGTTCATGGACCTGGGCTGTCAGCTGGAAGAACAGTGAGGAATGACAAAAATGGTAATAAATTTGCTTTTACTGCTAATCTCTGTTGTAATAAATTTGTCCTGTACCCATGCACAAAAATGTGCATGGACCCTCTCTATAAACCTCTAGGGAGAAATTTGTGTGCAAAAGTAACATTGTTATTCCCTTCAATGCATTGGAAAAATGCACTGAAAACCTAATCCAGACATGTCAGTACAACACTGGTGTTAGTTTAAACAAAAACTAAGCAAGTTTTCCCCTTTGCAAAGTAGTGTCTCCAAAAATACTTTGTTCTGTCTTAACTCCTTCTGCACTGAATAACAAGCAAGACTATTTTTACTTGGCATAATGCAATGCACTTATTCACAAAAATTGTATTTCTCTAACATCAGGAGCAGCTTTGATCGGAATTGTAATAATTTCTAATGCTTATGGCCAAATTTTTAGATAGTATAAAAATAAAATTAGCACAAGACCACTTACTTCTAGTAGTACAAAATTTGAACTGTTTTGCATGAACAAAATACAGTGACAAAGAAAAATTTGTGTAGATTTTCCCAGAAATTATTATATTGGAGTCTGAGTGACATATGACCCTCAGAACTTATTGCTCTTTTAGAATTTTTTGATAACTTGTCACAAGTTGGAATATATGTTTTGTTGTTGTTGTTGTTGTTGTTTGAATGCAAAAGTCTCTCATGATTATTCAATAATGGAACTGGCTAAAGTAATAAAAGTCATGCCATACTGAGATTTTTGGAAAGTTTAGGCTCTATGTTTGATTTCATTAAGTGGAAGGTAAAATAGGTTGCTCTTAGAGAACTCTGGATTTGGATTAAGAAAAATATTCACAGGCCATTTTTTCTTATTAAAAAAAAAAAACATGTTCATGTGCATACAGTATTACATTGACTAATTTTTGCTGTGTGGTCCAACAGGAATGTATATGATGAATATACATTGAAAGACTTCAATTGACTTATTGAGAATTTGTTTAATGTTGGAGAAGAGGGGGTTGTACCTACTCCCAAACTCTGCCCCTTACACTGCATTCCATGTCATGCAAAGAACCTAATTTGCAGTTTAAAATGTGTATGTAAATGTTAACTAACGGGTCCTCTCGGGAAGGGATTCATGACATCAAACCTTGAGAAGAAGTTCTTGCTACAGGCAAACTGCAGAAGTGCCCTGTGTGACCTCAGCTCCATCAGACAACTTTTTCCAAATCTAACCCTGCACAGTCTTTCACTTGACCAGTGAGTACTTCTGCTATGTAGCTCTTCAAGGGAAGCACTCAGTGCCAGCTCCTTGTCTTCTCGGGAGCTTAGGAGCCTTAAATCTGTTGCCAGAGAAACTTGCAACGCTGAGGAACTGTAACCTACTGGCTAAGATGCAACTGAAACTGAAGTGAGAAATGGTTTTAATCCATACTTAGCTTTCCCGGAGCAAGTTCTCCTTAGCTCTTGTCTCATCAGAGGAGTTGTGGAGTTGATGAGCACATATTCTGAGCTGACCTGCTCTATCTAGAGTCAATCCTCTAAGGGTAGTGTTGCAAAAAGCTGTGGGGAGGGGTACCATTCCCTGTGCCTTCCTGATGGTAAGCAGAGTGCTTCTCCTCTAGGTCATTCCTTGTGGCCTCTACCACAACACTCAATTGAAAAGATGAGAAAATATATGTTTAAAAAACAGCTGTGTTTTTGGCATTACTACAGTCCCAAGGTCAATCAGCTTAGTCATTAAAATATATTGTTTTGTTTTGTTTTGTGATGCTCTTTCAGCCAGCAAGAAGTGCTGTTTGCTTGCATGCACCCGTTCATATGATAGGGAAAAGTCCAAAGATAGACATTCAATGGAAAATGTGAGTAAGTAGAATATTTGTAGTGAAGTGGTTCTAGTATTCCTGCCAAGACAAATCGCAGAAGGGAACAAACACACATCTTGGAAGTATTTCCTCTCATGACAAAGATGTGACTATGTAAGTGTATGATTTGAGACAGGAACAGCACATCTGAACCTTCAGCCATGCTGAAGGTATCAGTACGGCAAGATTTCTGCTATATTTACTTCCAAAATCTGCCCAGATACAACCATAGATTATCTACTCCCTTTCATTTTTCTTTTTTTTCATTCTTCCTGAACTGAAGAGGCTGTTCTTTAAAGTCTGTGATGCAAGACATTGTGAGCATCTTTACCTGGACACGTCTAAGTGAGGAAAATCAAGGTTCAAGCTGCAGACATGGTGAGTATTAAATGAAAAATTGCCAAAAAAAGAAAAAAAAATTTCCAGTGTTTTCTTATTTATATATGTCTTTTTGTTTCTTTCCTTTTACCTCTGTTTCCTACCCTCTAGTTCTTTTGCCATAGCTTAAAGAGCATCTTATAATATCTGTTTTAGTTTTTCTTTCTTATGCCCAGATATGCTTTTCCTGTCTCTTCTACAGTTTTCTTCCTCTCACAGTTGTTTACTTGATTCATTATGATTACCCATTTTTAATTTATTTTCTTATTAAAATAGATCAGAAAAAAAAAAAAATCATGAACAGTTCAAGCCAGTATGTAAAGCATGGGTCGTTTGGTCTCTGAGCTATAGCACTATGCTACAGTTAGTGTTTAATATAATCTAATCATAGAATCATAGAATCATAAAATCATAGAATTAGAGAATCAGAGAATCAGAGAATCATAGAATGGCCTGGGTTGAAAAGGACCACAATGATCATCCAGTTTCAACCCCCTGCTATGTGCAGGGTCACCAACCACCAGACCAGGCTGCCCAGAGCCACATCCAGCCTGGCCTTGAATGCTTCCAGGAATGGGGCATCCACAGCCTCCTTGGGCAACCTGTTCCAGTGTGTCATTACCCTCTGTGCGAAAAACTTCCTCCTAATATCTAACCTAAACATCCCCTGTCTCAGTTTAAGACCATTCCCCCTTGTCATATCACTATCCACTCTCGTAAACAGCCATTCCTCTTCCTGCTTATGTGCCCTTCAATTTATGGAGCAATGAAGCAAGCACAGATGAGCTAAGTGATGTAGAAGAGAGAAGGTAAAAAGTGGGAGAAACAAGTAATGCAAACATGAAGATCTGAGAGGAAGAGAGTACAGTGGACAGGGCTGCAATTGACAGGGGATGAGTAAAGAGCTCAAGGGGGGGATGAGGAGGAGTGGAGAATAAAGCACCAAACCAAAGAGTGAGTGAAGAACATTAAAACTGAAGGGAGTGGAAGAGAGCAGCTTCCATCTTTGCAATGCTTCATAGAGATTTTAGAATAAAAATCCAGGACAGCAGATACTGTAAATTCAGGGTGGGCTCCATAACTGAAGATTAAAGTGATGCTCATTTCAAATTTCCCAAGGCACAATGTATTGTCTGAATTTTTTCTTTATTTTAAAAGCCATGAAATCCACATATTAAGTTTACTGAAACTCTAACATTTCTTTTCTCTTTCCCTCTTCTTCCCTTCCTTCCTTCCTTCCTTCCTTCCTTCCTTCCTTCCTTCCTTCCTTCTTTTTTCCTGACAATAAATAACTTTTTTTCTCATATTATATCATGATTCTTTTTTAAGAAAGGAGGTCTAAGGCAGAATTATTTCTCCTTCATTTGGAGAATCTGTACAATGCAGTTTGCAAACAAGTTTCACAATGAATATATGTTGGGTAATAAGAGCTCTAAGTTCCCTACTGTCTTTCAGCTGATCAAAGTGAAAGGTCATCCTGGCATTACTGGTAATGAATTGAAGATCTCTTTTCTCCTCTGTCTGCAAAGAGACTCACCCCACTGGCTTTGTAGTGCTCTTTGGTTGAGAGGGTACCTGGTCATTACACATGTTCTCATCTGATGGTAATCCCATCTCCTAACTGACATACTACACTCTCTTATTTATTCCTCTTCACCTTCAGCCTGACGTCTAAGCAAAGCCCCATTCAGTTTTTGAACCAATGGTCACCAGTATCTTAAATATTGCGTCACTGATGATTCAGAGAGCCACCAGATGATCTTTTTTATTATCCTAAATGAGGTGGAAGTTGATCATTTAAAAAAGGCGAGAAGTATAGACTATTATGAAGTCCTTTTAACTGTCCTGTACTCCATGATAAACTCATTCTCTAGATGGTTAAACAGGGTGGCTTGTGAAATAAATAGTTATAGTGAGATGAATTTCAGAAAAGGGAGAGGAGCAGAGAGGACTGCTGACTGCTGATGGATGAAGGTTGGACAACAAAGGACAGAAAGAGTTTCCCTCTGTGGTAAGGATCCTACATAATATGAGGGCTGCACCAAAAGTAACAACTGCTGTTTTATTATATTGGCCCATGACCTCTGGGGCAGATGTTGGTGGTATGGCAATAGAGGTTGAACCCTCTCACCAGTATTCGATTGCATTTGTTGCCATGTGACAGATGGCAGCAGAGGGACAGCCTGAAACAATAGTATATGACATAGAATTGTATATGAAGAAAAGCTGTGGAACTGAATTCCTCTGTGTGGCAAAAAAATTGCACACATTGACATTCATTGATGCTTGTGAATGTTTAAGGAGACCAAATAGTGGATGTGAGCACAGCACGATTGAAGGTGTGTTTCAGCACAATAACAACGACAATAGGTCACCTCCGCTGGTGCAGATTTTTATGATTACAGAATGCAGGCTCTTGTTCATCACTGATGAAAATCCATATCTAATTGTGGTGAATATAGTGAAAAACAGTGTTGAGAATTTTTATGAAATAGTTATTGTGCTCTTTGAATCTGTTCAAGTTCCCATGGAAATAAATAGAAGGCATTACTTTCAGAGTAACATATTTATAAGGAACACGTACCCATTGGGAAAGAGTAAGGGCAACTTATGTTGTTAAAGCTAGAGAAAGCATTTCTACTGATCTTCCTGAAATAAGAGAAATCTCTAGGTTTTAGTTACTTATGTGTTGTCCTCTGAATCTACAGCGATTATTCCTGTTGTAGGTAGAAACTGAAAAAATGACAACTTACCTGCTCCTTGGGTAACACAATCTCTTGCTACTGCAACACAATCTCTTAATACTGTCTTACAAGTAAATGAAAAATTGACATTTATTCCACGTATATTGGGAGAGTAGCCCAGTCTTATTGCCTGCAAGGTGTTCTTACCTGGGAGTGTTTTGGCAAGCTCAGGTTATTTCTGAGCAGTCATCTGGGTACAGTGTCTGGCTTTCAGAATCTGCATCAGCAAACCAGGGATCTTTCCCACATAATCCCAAACTGGATTGCGATGTGTGTAGTCAAAGCAGAGTGATGGAACCCGGCTGTAAGTCTGTAGAGCAGAATCAGTCTGTGCAAGGAGGGTGTTTCTAAACCCCAACAGTTGTCTCATGTCTGTCAGTGGGGGCTGCAACACCAGCTGCAATGCCTCTTGCTCTGCACTCTGCTCATTCCTGCAAAACAAATAGTAATTTGTTAGAGCCTGATGACAAATTCACACGTTGGCTACAACTGTGCATGTAAGAGGCAGAAAAAGCAGCTTCCAGCTGGACAATCTCACTGCACCTTCTATTGGCAAAGGCTGCCTTATATCTCATCTCACAGAGCTTTTTCTAAGACTCTTGGTGTATTTGTTCTGTCCTCATATGGGGAAACAATGAAATACCATCATCTGGGTGAAGAAATCAATTGCATGGTTGATGTCTACCTTGTATCTTCATCTCACAACCTATCTGATGGGCCCATAGCATACAAGTAGCTTTGTGTAGGCTCTGTCTATGGGTGTAGGTGCAAAAAGTCCCACAAACCAAGCTGCTTTTAATAAGGAGCTTCTTGAAGGCAAAAAGAAAATAAACTCTTCTCTCATTCAGTGTAAAGCCTTTCCAGGTGGTATATAGCTTGGTGAGTCCAAAGAGTCTTTGGGAGCAAAGTCAGATTATTCTCACTGTGAACAGCTTTTACTGCTTTCCCAGATCAGATCTGGAGAGTGTCTGCTTCTGTAGTGGTAGATGTGTATCCCAAAGGGACAAGTAACAGTTTCTTAGAATTGAATTTCAGCCAACCATTTTCAATCTTTAGAAGAACTGTTCTGGAAACATTCAGCCTGCCCACTTTATATTTCAGTGAAATTCAAATGCACTACAAATCTGATGTATTTTACTGAAATTTCAGCATTATGTTAGGGAAAAATTTCTGACATTGCTAAGATAAGATGTTTCACCCTTCTACCAAATTTTAATTCAGTGTATTTAGGAAACATAGATTCAGGGTATCAGTAATTCCTACAGATGTTTTACTTTGGATTTTCTTTTCAACTGAATTTCTTCTCTATGTCAAGAAGATATTACCAGTATAAAGAGACAGTAAGACATTTGGTGCTACAACAACATGGACAAAATTATCCATAGCACCTTCTCATGCAATTTATGTCATCTTTTTTTAGAATGTGGGTAGATTCTCTTGCTTATCAGGGGTAGAGCAGGAACTTTCTGGGAAAGTGACTATCTGAAAAAGAATTATTTTTTCAAAATCGACTTTCTTGTGCGAGAAGTGTCAGAATTCTCTGACTTTCCATATGAACAGGCTCCGCCATTTTCATGTGCAGTGAACCAGGATGTAGACACACATTTTTATTGATGTCTTCTTTTGCAAGAATTTCCTTTTTTTTTTTTTTTTTTTTTTTTTTTTTTAATAATTTTTAATTCTGCTGTTAATTGGGTTTGTATTTTTTTCAGGATGAGAAGGTTTGTGTGGGGAAGATGTACTTTTCTGAGGCAGCTATATCTCTAATTGTGCTAAGCTTGGGAGAAAATGATTAATAAGAATATGAGCACCATCTGCAATCTCTAATGATGATATAGTTATCCATACCAATGGAATTCCCAAGCTTCATAATAAAATTTGCTTAATACCTGAAAGTTGGTACAAAAAGTGTCAAAGGATTTGATTTCAACTGGTAGTTGAAAGGAGCAAGTCATACTAATTGACTGATAAGTTCTTCATCAGCATCTGGGTGATTGCCATTGATTTGTGAATTTGTGTATCATTTGGAGCCTTCCAAGTTAAGAGGCTGCTTCTCTTTTTCATTCTTTCTTGACAGTAGAAATCTGTTGACTTGATATTATTTCATTTGAGTGATTGGTTTTATAAATGGCCATGATGAGGAGTTTCTAGGAGAAACTGAATCTGAATCTGAAATTTGAATCTGAATTTTGGTTTGCAGCAGATCTGATGGTTCTCTACTTCAAGAAATCTCTATTTCCAAAATTTTTTTCTTAG